AGGACAAATGCGAGGCGCAACTTAGGGAGATTGCCAAGCTGAAAAAGGATCTGGAGGGTCAAGAACTTTGGTCGACAAGCTGAAGGTCGACAAGGCCGTGGCTCAACACGACAACGAGAAGCTCTGGGCCGACCTTGAAAAGGTCCAGGGTGAGGTCGTGTCCAAGAGGGATATCGGCACTATGCAGGGCCGAAAGTCGTTTCTAAAGTTCAGCGTGGGCTCCGCCTTCGTTGAGGCCTACCGAAAAGAAGTCATCAAGGCTTTCTGCCATTCGCTTGAGTTTCTCGATAGGCTCTCTCCTGCCGCCGTTCAGTACTTCGATCATACTTTCGACGCGTGGGAGGAGGTGGTGGCGGGGTCTGAGTTCGCGGGAAAACTCGACCGCGAGGCAATGAGGCGTGCGCTTCCCGACCCTGATGGCTATGAGGGTGACACATCCATTCCGGATGATTACCCATGGTGGTCTGGCCTCGAGGCCAAGGCCATTCATGTCGCCAAGCTCTCTTATCAACTGGAGGCCCCTCCTACTTCCTCAATCGGACCGACTGGATTACCTCATCCGAGTGGGAATAATCTTGAGGAAGGGGTCCAGGAGAGTGATGCCGACGCTTAGAGTTGTTTTGAGACTGTCGCCTTTCTATTTTTCAGGGCTTTGCTTTAGCTTTTTCTTATTGTCGTTCTCGACCTATTTTCAAAATGTAAAGGTCAAGACGATTCTCTTGTAATGATTTTATCATGAATAATACCATTTTCACCGTATCTCGTTCGTTTTTCTTTTGTTCTTGAATTGCCATAGATGCTTAGCAATTGAGGCGAGCTTTCTATATTTTGGAGATCTTAAGTGTATTCTCACTGTTTAAATCGACTTTGCAGTCGTAGGCCTCGTAGTCTTGCCTAGGTTCTACTCGAATTACAACTTCGTAGGTGCTTTGGGTAGACTTCGTAGTCATAGGCTTCGTAGCTTTGTCGAGATTCTACTCGAATTACAACTTCGTAGTTGTTTTGGGTCGACTTCGTAGTCGTAAGCTTCGTAGCTTAGTCGAGATTTCACTTGAGTACAACTTCATAGTTGTTTAAGTCTATTTCATAGCTTTTCGGAATTAGTCGACTTTACAGTCGTTCCTTAAAAAATTCAACTTGTCGGGTGATCATAATAAGATTGATATGGATATGTAAAAGACAGTTGAAACACAAACTTGAAATTCATTGCATTACTGAATTTGATTCGAACATTTTTCAGTACAAAAGGAGATTCAAGACATTGTCTTAAGCATAAAAGCGTTTTAGATGGATCACATGCCAAGATCGAGGCAGCTATCGACCTTCCCCATCTTCGAGTTCGTACACTCCTCTTTCAAGAACTTTTGTGACGGTGAAAGGTCCCTCCCAATTAGCTTCGAGCTTTCCGACATGTTTGAGGGCATCTTCTCGTTTGAGGACGAGGTCTCCAACTTGGAAACGTCGGGTTCGAACATTTTTGTCAAAGGCTGCGCACATATTTTGCTTGTATTCGACAGACCGCACCCAAGCTTCCTCTCGCCCTTCTTCGATTAAGTCGAGGGCTTCTGCCACCATTTCATCGTTTTCCCTTCTTCATAGAATGTCAACCTGTGAGACAGTAAACCCCACTTCAACGGGTAGGAGCGCGTCCATTCCATATACCATGTGGAACGGTGATTGACCCGTCGAACTTCTCGGAGTCGTCTGATAGACCCAAACAACTGTTGTTAGCTCGTCGACCCAGGCTCCTGACGCTTTCTCCAACCTCTTCTTCAGTCCTTGGAGGATAGCTCGGTTTGTCACCTCAACTTGGCCATTCGCTTGGGGATGCGCCACTGAGGCTGTTTGATGCCCATGTCGAGGCACCACGCCTAGATTCGCTTGCCTTGAAATTGAGTTCCATTATCTGAGATTAATATCTTCGGGACTCCGAGTCGACAACAGATGTTGTTGAATAGGAACTGTATCATTTTCTTTTCGGTAATCTTTGCTAGTGGCTCTACCTCGACCCATTTGCTAAAGTAGTCGACTGCGACTACAAGGAATTTTCTCTGTCCTGCTCCCATTGGCAAAGGTCCCACCAAGTCGATTCCCCATTGAGCGAAAGGTATTGGGCAATTGATCATCGTTATGGTTTCAGCCGGGATATGGGGAATCGGATCATGTCGTTGGCATCTTTCGCATCCTCGCACTAACTGTTCGGCCATTTTCCGGATCTTTGGCCAGTAATAGCCTGCTCGCAGAGCTTTGCCAGCTAGGGTGCGAGATCCTGCGTGCGCTCCGCAGCATCCTTCATGAATCTCTCTTAAGACATGATTCCCTTCTTCCTCAGAAACGCAGCACAAGTGGGGCCCGATCATCGACCTCTTATACAGGATCCCATCGACTTCGAGTATTTGGTCAGATATCGGGCAGCTTTCTCCGCTTCTTGCTTATCTCCTGTAGGTATGTGTCCCTGCAAGAGTTCACGAATCGACTTCTCTAGTCGTCTTTTTCATCGACTTCCATTGTTTGGTTAAAGACACTTCCTTCCAGGTGCATCGTGGTAATATTACCCCCCATTTTTCCTTCATTTGAGCTCGCGATTCTTGAGAGCCAATCGACCCGTCTATTTTCTTCTCGGGGGACTTGTGTTAGTTTGAATTTCTCCAAGCTTTGCACCCGGCTTTGGATTTCCTCGACATATTTCATCATCCGGTCCTCCTTGACCTCACAGTTTCCCAGTATTTGCCCGACCGCGAGCTGCGATTCGGAATGCGCTATGATCTCTGTCGCTCTGCCACCGATTGCGAGCTGAATCCCTTTGATTAGCGCCTCATATTCTGCCTCGTTGTTCGAGGCTTTAAATCCCATTCTGATGGCGAAGTCGAGTTGTTCGCCTTCGGGAGATATGAGGACCACTCCTAAGCCAGATCCCTTAGTTGTCGAGGATCCATCGACGTGCATTGTCCATTTCTTTTCTTCCCCTTTGGTTCCTTCTTGGATGAAATCTGTTAAGGCTTGGGCTTTTATGGCTCGCCTTGGTTCATATTTGATGGAGTACTAACTTAGCTCGACTACCCATTTTACGAGTCGACCCGAAACAGTAGGTCGACCCAGGGTTTCCCCAAGTTGAATGTTTGTCCTCATTACTATCACGTGTTTCAGAAAATAGGGCCTCAACTTTCTAGCTGTTACTACCAATGTCAAGGCAGCCTTCTCGACTTCGGAGTATCTCGTCTCTGCACCCTATAGTACTCGACTTGTATAATAAATCGGTTGCTGGTTACCCCCTGCCTCTTGCAGCAATACTGAACTTAACGAGAATACTCCTACCGAGATGTAGAGTACCAGCTCGTCTCCAGGCTCTAGTTTTGTCAACAGCGGCAACTCGCCTAGAAATTCCTTCACCTTTTCAAATGCCATTTGAGCCTCATCATTCCATTGAAAAGTTTTCTTTTTGAGCAACTTGAAGAATGGGAAGCCTCTTTCCGCAGCTCGGGTGACAAATCTACTCAAACAAGCAATTCGACCTGTCAAGACTTGTACTTCTCTGATATTTCTTGGTGGTGCCATATCGATTATGGCTTTCACCCTGTCTTTGTTCACCTGAATCCCTCTTTCAGTTACGACATAGCCAAGGAATCGTCCTGCCCTTACTCCGAAGGCGCATTTACCTGGATTCAGCTTCATCCCGAACGTTCTTAGTGTCTTGAATGTTTCTTTTAGATCCTCGACATGCGAAGTCGAGGACCTTCTCTTCACCAGAATGTCGTCCACATACACTTCCATATTACGTCTGATCTGCGACTTGAACATTCGATCCATCAGTCTTTGGTAAGTCGCCCCCGCGTTCTTGAGTCCGAAGGGCATAAAAACATGACAATATGCTCCCTTGCTTGTCACGAAACTCACTTTGCTCTTATCTTCTGGGGCCAATGGGATTTGATGATATCCCTGAGATGCATCCATCATACTCAACAGCTTGCAGCCGGCCGTAGAATCAACTAGCTGATCAAATCTTGGTAGTGGATAATGATCCTTTGGACATGCTAGATTTAAGTCGCGAAAGTCAATGCACATGCGCCATTTGTTCAGCGCTTTCCTCACCATTACAGTCTTTGATATCCATTCGGGAAATTGGATTTCTTTGATATGTTTGGCCTTTAGTAATTTATCTACTTCGACCTTGATTGCTTTGTCGATTTCGGCCCCGTGATGCCTGAGTCGTTGCTTTACGGGCTTTTTGAAAGGATCGACGTTGAGTTTATGCTCCATGACGTCTGGGTCGATTCCCGTCAATTCCTCAGGGGAGAAGGCAAATATGTCCCTGAATTCCTTTAGCAGCTCCCCTAGTTGTTTGCGCAACTCGTTCTCCAATTCTCTCTCAACTTTGGTGGTTTGTGTTGGTGTTATATACTTAAGCTTTGCTTTAGTGGATATTACACTTGTTAT